ATATATATATATATATATATATATATATACCATATTATATAATGGTCTATATATATAAAGGTTTATTTATATTAAATTTGTAAAATTTAAAATGACGTAAATCACGTCAGCGCGGTATTTAGACGTAGAACTTGAAAAGACGTAAATATACGTCAGCGGTTGCGAATGTGTTAAATATCTATTATTTGTCCATAGTCTTTTTTTTTAATTTATTTTTCTTATTCTATTTCATAATTCTCGTATAACATAATTTCATTTATAATAACGAAAAAGTCATTTTTTGTATTACATTCTTCTTGTTCTTGTTCTTCATCATAATTCTTGTCAAGTTTTTCATTGCTATGCAAAATCCTAACATAACATATTCGTTTCATTCATTCATTCATTCATTCATTCATTCATTCATTCATTCATTCATTCATTCATTCATGTATTGTTTCTTCCTGTCTCTTTTATTTCTACAGTGTTGTTCTATGATAGAACAAAGACACACTTTATCAACACATTTATCCCATAGACGATGTTTGCTTTTTCAAGGTGAAGAAGTCTAACCACCGATCAAGAGCCATGGAAGTATGATGGTAACGCAAAGGGCTGCCAAACAACTTGCACACATTGCCAAAGGGCTCGACGATGTTTCCGTCTTTACTTCTACCCCATAATCTTCGATTACATCGTCCCTCTCAAATTCTCGAACGTCTACATGGCATCTGAAGCAAACTCGACTTCTTCTTTTTTCACAAGAACTGTCATCATCTCTTCTTAATAAAAGATCTGAACCTTTTCTCTCCAATTTCCAACCAGGTTCTTGTAACAACAACATTTGAGTCATTTTTGATTATTTCTTATTTCTTTTATTCTCTCTTTCTTTTGTTTCTCCTTCTCCTCCTCCTTCTTCTCCTCCTCTTCTACTTTTAATTCTTCTTCGTCACCTGAAAAAAAGGTTCAATTTGTAAATAAGTTATATTGTATTTTTAATGACAATGTTATTTTTATTACAATCGAAAGTATGAAGAATTATTGTAATATTTTTGTTAATAAAATGCAACGGATAGAAAATAATAATTTAATAGACAAGAATGTAAGATCAAAGTATATACAGTGTTATAGTATAGTATAGATAAGAGTTAGATGAATTATTTTTGTTTATTAAGATAAATAAATGTAACGAATGTTAATATAATGTTTAATAATATTATATATTATCAATATAATAATTATTAATTAAATTATTAATTAAAAAATATTAATAATATATAATATTAATTAATTATTATTATATATAATATTATATAAATATATAAATATTAATTAAATATGATTATATA